GAAATAACGGCGGGTGGAAGCACACACTGTCAAGCAATGTGCACGTGTCTCACAGCGCAAATTCTGTGCAATGACGTCTGCGTCTCTAGTGTGCACGCATGCCAATTGCGGGGGGAAAACCAAGCTCAGAATGATTCTGAAATATTCAGAATCGTTGAAGAGAGAATCGCGATGCATCGGAGAATCTATTTTTTCTCCCACCCCTGCTATATACTGTATAATACACTTATGTTAAAAATACTCATTTGTATTTATACTGTACACTTTCCAAAATATATATAAAAACAAAGCTTATAAAAATGACAACAGTATATAACACGATTATTAAAAATAAAATAAAAACTGAAAGATAAAAATATAAGCTAATTCAAAATAAGAATAAATACCATAAATAGTATATAAATTATACTAAATTAACAGTGAGATCATAAAATACAATAGTATAAATACGATAATATTTCAAACAAACAGACGACTTCAAAGAAAACATAACTCATGTTTAAATAAAAGAATGATAACTAGTGAATCAACGGAAGACGTTCTAGAAAGGGAAATCGGGAGTTTCTTATTTCGGTTTTTATGAGAGAGTAAAATTTGACGCTGGTCCCTACGCGATAAGAAGTTTTTCCTCGTTTTCATTGGCTGAAGCAGAAGACTGGCGCGGTTGTTCGAGGAAGTTTACGCTGTCGGATCTAGTTTTTCTTTTATATGAAATAACAGGTGATATTTCTTTGTTGCCCTCTGTGATCTCAATATAATTACACGGGGAAAGCGACAGATTTAGATATGAACTTAAGTCATGTTCCGTTGACTCTGTGAGGAGTTTATTGTCAGTTTGACTCGGCCAAATGCAGTGTATGTGGTGTATGCAGGAATCTGAGCTGATCTTGATTATATGACATGGAGAGCAAGAGTAGTCGGTTTCCTTTCCCTTTCCAGCCCTATCACATCCAGGAGAGCTTCATGGAGGCCCTTTACACTGCTCTGGATCAGGGGAAAGTCGGTATATTCGAGAGTCCCACTGGCACGGTCAGTCTGCGCTCGAGATCCGTTCATCTCACCGTCTCTTTTAAGATGACAGTGAATGTTTACGCTTTCTTGTGTTTGATCCTGCAGGGAAAATCTCTGAGTCTTATATGTGGTTCACTGACATGGCTGAGAAACTATGAGGAGCAGAAGAAACTGGAGGCTGCTAAACTTCAGGATGGGCCGGAGAAGAAGTGTGATGCTGTGAAGGAGGAGAACAGCACCAGCCAAACATCAGAGCCAGACTGGGTGTCTGAATTTGTGCAGAAGAAAGCAGAGAGAGACATTGTGAACAAGTTAAAGGTATGAGAATTATTATGTGCCTCTTACAGTTCATCAGACCAAGTCATGTGCCGGGGTTTTCAACCTGGGTCCTAGCTAGAGAAAAGCAGTGTAAAAAATACAAATAAATAAAATGAAATGTTATATTAAAATAAACAAAAATAAATTTAAAATAATCAAATATATGAACAAATAATACATCTAACAGTACAGTATTATAGTAAGTAAAAAATGTAATATTGGAATGTAAAAACACCCAAAATATTTTCAAAATAATACACACACACACACACATATATATATATACATACATATATATATATATATATATAT